CGAAACGCAGCCTGTGTAACACAGTGAGTCGTTTCATCCTTGTTTAACGTTGGCAAACAACAAGGATAAAACGACTCATTGTGTTATAGCGAATTCGATTGGACGCACTCAGTGCGCACCGGTGCACATTAAAGCCGTTGTACACGAAATAACGTAAAGATATGTTTATAAATAAACAGAGATCTATTAAATCGTGAAATACTTAATACATTTTATTGTACTATTAGGTAAAATATGTATTTCATAATTCGAAATATTTGCATTTCATTTTTATACTTAAATTAAATTAGTGTACTTACAACGGCTTTAATATGCATCAGTGCGCACTAGTTCTTCCAATCGAATTCGCCATTACACAGTGTCTGACTATGTCCTTGCTGGAAAGCAAGCATCTAATCGACCCCCAGTTCATCTTTCTTTCTTTTCTTTCCAGAAGGAAAGATGAATTGGTGTAAAAATTCAGCCAAAAAGAACAGGGAGTCGATTATGTGTGTGTGTATCTTGAAATAATCCTTTCCTGCAAGGACACAGTCAGACACTGTGTAATACAGTGAATCGTTTCATTCTTGTTTAATGTTGGCAAACAACAAGGATAAAACGACTCACTGTATTACACAGTAGGTCTGTCGCGTTGCTTGCACTTTTGGCACTCGGCATCTTCGCTTTCTCTCTTTTCAAGGCCAAATATATATCTATCTCATTTTAAGTGCAAAAATATTTGGGGATTTCATGCAACGCGAACAGACCTAGTGTCTGGGGGTCGATTATGTATCTCGAAATAATGTGAAAATTACAAAAGTGAGCAAATTCACTAGAATACTCATAATTTAATTGGTCAATAACTAGGGAATTTGCTCACTTTTGTAATTTTCACCTCATTTCGAGATACATAATCGACCCCCTGACTATGTCCTTGCTGGAAAGCAAGCAATGTGAAAATTACAAAAGTGAGCAAATTCACTAGAATACTCATAATTTGATTGGTCAATAACTAGTGAATTTGCTCACTTTTGTAATTTTCACCTCATTTCGAGATACATAGGCTGTGTTCCAAAATTAACTGCCAATACTGAAAATCTATAGTGCACGTAACGTAAACTGTAGCATTTTCAGTGTTTGTAAATTTGGAACACAGCCATAATCGACCCCCAGGGGGCTGATTACGGTTCCTTGTGACCACGGTGTAAACACCGTGCTTGTGACGAAATGAAAATTACAAAAGTGATTGAATTTACTAGAATATTTATAACTTCATTGGTTAACATCTAGTGAATTTGATCATTTTTGTAATTTTCACTTTTCGTCACAAAAACCGTAATAAGCTCCCAGACCTAATGGGCGCATTCAGCGGACTCAACAGACTCAACAGTTGAGTGAGCGCTTGCTGTTATTGGTGTATTCTTTTAGCTCATCCAATCAGAATTTTAGATCTAGAAGAATACATCAATAGCAGCGGGCGCTCACTCAACTGTTGAGTCTGCTGAATGCGCTCATTGAAAAATGTTATAAGTTTGTTCGGCCGTGTTTAATCAGGTCTATTCTTTATTCCTGCACTATTTGAACTGATGCACAAAATGCAATAAGTTGAAGCGAAACAAACATATATTTGTTTCACTTCAACTTATTGCATTGTGTGCACCAGTTTAGGTAGTGCAGGAATAAGAAGCAGACTAGTGTGTATATCAAGAATGCGCAGCAACAGTACAGAAATTAATTCTCGCATTCGCGAGTGATAAGAAAACAGATAAAAATAGTGGCACGCGAAGTCTTGAAAATTTCAGATCGCGCCCTTATCTATGAGAGCTACGATAAGGACTTGTGTGGCGATGAGCTGACCCGAAAAGGAACAGGCGGGCTGCCACACTCGAGTCTTGAGGAGACAGGAGAGACCGCCGAGACCGGGCTACGCAACATTAAGGTTAACGTACGCCAAATCAGCTGATTCAGTAATCAGTGACTGACCACTGACCACTGGGGCGGCTGACACAACGGTTCGTTCAGCAGGATCCAGACCGCTTCTCTGTGAGGCATTTTCCTCCTTGGAAGGCATCTTCTATTAGGAATTACAGCTTCTTGTGACAGAAGGGAAAATATAAGTAAATTAGATAACGATTAGTTCTCTGTCCTCTACGCGTGGTTAATTCACAGGGGTCAACAGCCGCTAGCTACTTTCAAAAGAAAAGAAAAGAAGTCTTCGTAGTCCGTGAGTCAAGTCGAAAAGTGATAAGCTTTATGAGCGAGATAAATATGTTTGTGTATCTATTGATATGAATTTTAGATACTCTGGTACTACCGACATATATCCTTTTGTAATCTTGATTAAACAATCTAAAAGTATTATTTACAACTTGTTGATAATCTGTTTGTTGAAAACTATAGGGAAGATACTTAAGTATATATTAATATATCTAAAATGTTTCTAAAAGTGCTTTACACGAATCTAAAGAATACATATGAAATTATTTTGCAGTAATTATGCATGTAAGATAAAAGGTTAATGTGTCACGAGTTTATCTTTGAGACATGAATGCACAAATATGTCTGGTAGATAAAAATTTGTTTT